TCCGGACATGGAGAAGCATAGCCTGGTCATGATAACCCTATTCCTGGACAATCATTCATCCGTTCTCTCAATAAGAATCTGGGAAGCTGATTTTTTGTCATTTTTTTCATCCACTTCTACCCTGAACTTTAAAATCTAGCTCTAATTCCCATGATGCGCCTGAACTAAGTCCTGATGGCCAAGAATAAAATGGTTTATTTTTAGCCTCTTATAACAGAGAACTTGTTCTTCTCTGTAGATCTCTCTGGAACGAAGTTGCCTCCAGTTTCAGGCAGGGGGAAAGTACTGCCTTGACTCAAATACTCTCCCTTCCTTTCCTTTCCCTCCTGTCATCCATATCTTTTCCTTTCAAATCCCCACACCTCCGGCCTGGCTCATAACTAATGTGTGGGATAGGATTTTTTTATATTGTTATAAATGATAAGTAATTAATTCTTACTCATATGGCACATATAATAAATCATTTTTTCCTGGGTGGTTGTGACTATATTTCTTTCAAATGTAGAATATAAATGATAGTTATAAATAGAGATCACTTTGCAATCAAAGATATAGAGAATACAGCATCATTCCGGCTGTTAAATAGAGCAGAGTGGGATAGTTACTTCCTAGCCTAAGAAAGAAAATAAATCCATGTATAGCCTATATCTAAAGCATCATCTATGTCATCTACCCACATTTAAGCCTACTTATGATTCACTAACAAAAAATGTGTTTCTTGAACATCCAGAATCTCTGGCATCTTTCTTTTCCACTACAAACTGCTGCTATAAACCTCCCATAATTTCTTTCTTTGAAACAGGAGTCAAATGAGACAGTGAGGAATAACCTCCAGCAATGGTGAAATGAGCTCTCTTTAACCCAGTGATTAGCCATTTTCAACGGTCCTTTATGTATATTGTCATGGTTATTAAAAATAATAAGTAAATGAGATTTGTCAGATAATGAAATTTGTTCACATTTTCAGGTACCAGACAAGAAACATGGATTACTGCATGGAGTTCCATTAGTAGAAATACAACTCATTCTACATTCTTCTTGTTCTTAGTATTTTCATGAACAGGAAATTGTTTGTATCAGCACAAGGCAATATTCTAATATGACAGTGACAGCAGACAGAACCTCAATAAACTCTGACTTGTTACTGCAAACACCATTTCAAATTAATATCAAAATTGTGATCTTTTTTTTCCTGAAGTGGCTATAACAAAAAAAAGTTGATTAAGGGTATAAATATCAAGGAGCATAATACCTTTATTCAAATAAACCTTTGTTTAATCAGTTGTTCATGTATGTATGCAACAAGCAGTACTCAAGTGCCTCCTGTGTGCCATGCATTGATTTAATAGTGGCAAAACAATTTTTTTTAAAGTCCCAATCATCTTGGAGCTTATACTTTGGTAGGTTGAAAGGCAATAAATAAGATAAGTAAAATATATATGTTAGATAGTAATAAGCAGCAAAAGGGAAAAAAGGTAGATGAGAACACACGAGGGACATAATGAAAGTTTAGACTGGATGACCAGAAGACTTTGATGAGAAGTGAAGCAAACAAAATGAAGGAAAAAAAAATGCTTGCACTGACAACCACGATAACCACCATCCTCCATCCCCAAGAAAACTACAAAAGAGAAGAGAATACTAACACAATCAAGCTGAATTAAATAGCCTTAAACAAGCATTTGGAGATGTTAAAAAATACTATGGATCAAAAATTTTAAAAACAGACATGGACAAAGAACAGGAAGAAATAAAACAAAAACATTATATTCAGGAAAGAAACAGAAGTAAAACCATATAGAAATAAAGACAGAACTAAAATGTGCGGAGAAGTCTTGATTTTAAGTATCACACTGTACCCCAGCTACAGACCTCCGTTGCTAAAGAACAACTATTAACTGTGGACAAAACGCAAAAGAACAATTTTCCCTTAGAATTCTGAAGAAGAAACAACAGAAAGGCATAGTGTGGAGGAGAGCCCGTGAGACATTCACCCAAGCAGACCATGTCCTGGCCCATAAACCAAACCTCAACAAATTGAAAGCTACAGAAATCAGACAGGATGTGTTCTCTGACTGTAATAGAATAAAATTAGCTATCAATAACAAAAATATAGTCAGAAATCAATAAGTTTTTTTTAAACTCTAAAAATATCTACATTAAACATTTCTAAATAATTCATGGGTAAAGTCTCAAAGAAGTCAATAAAAATACATACAACTTAATAAAAAAAGACAATGTGTCAAAAAATGTGGCATGCAGCTAGAATAGTGCTAAGAAGAAAATTTATGGCATTAAATGCTTATGATAAAAAAGAGAAAAAAATGTCAAGTTAATAATAAAGTTTTACAGCAAGAAAGTTGAGGAAGAAGAACAAAATAAATCCAGAGCAAGCAGGAAAGAAATAAAAAAGATCTGAGCTGAAGTCAGTGAAATTGGTAATAGGAAAACAATTGAGAAAATTTACAAGACAAAAAGTTGGTTCTTAGGAAAATACCAATAAAACTGAGAAACTCCTAGCAAAACTGAAAAAACTGAAAAAGGGAAGATACTAACATTAAGAATGAAACAGAACATCATTACAGATCTTATAGCCATTAAAAATATAATAATACTACAAACAATTTTAAGCTAATAAATTTGAAAACTTAAAAATAATTGACCAATTCCTTAAAACCCACAAATGACAAAAACACAAGATAAAACAGAAAATCTGAATAGCCTTATAATCATTAATAATTCCATGCATAATTTTAAAGATCCAGAAAATAAATCTCCAGGCCCACATGATTTGACTGGTGAATTCTACCAAATATTTAAAGAAGAATTAACACCAATTTTATATAGTATCTTCCAGAATATAGATGAGAAAATACTTCAACCCATTTCATGAGGTCACTATTGCCAAATAACCAAACCAGTCAAAACCAAAAGAAAAAAAACAGTACAGTACATCTTTCATGAACTTAGACACATAAATTATCCACAAAATATTAGCAAAACAAATCCAACAATGTTAAAAAGAAATGATTTATTTTTGGCACAGACAGGGTCTCACTATGTTGCCCAACCTGGTCTCGAACTCCTGGCCTCAAGCAATCCTCCCACTTGGCCTCCCAAAGTGCTGGGATTACAGGCGTTAACCGTGACACCCAGTAATTTTTGTTGGTAATCTATTGTCTCCAGCTGCTTTTGCAAGTTAATTTATTTGGTTCTCTGCAGTTTCACTATGCATATGTTTTTATTAATCTGTGTCTATCTTGTTTGGAACTTGCCATTTTTCCTGAATCTGATGATCATGGTTTCCATCAATTCTATTTAAAAAAAAAAAAAAAAACTCAGCTATCATCTCTTTAATGTTGTCTCTTTCCCATGTTCTCAATTCTCTTTCTAGAATGTTTATTAGAAGCATTTCGAGACATCTTAATCTATCACTCACGTTAACTTCTATATCCTCAAAACTCAACAGTGCCTGACATGTGGTCAGTGCTCATCTGTGGGAACAAATGAATTATACTGAAAACCATCATGGAAATCAAAATAAATGCACCAGATCAAGGCAGAAATCAAGCATCTCCTGAAGTCCAACTTCCTAGTGGTTTAATCTTTAACCTATTACTCCAGTCAGATCCAAAAATAATGAAATCTGCAATTATTTAATGAAAGGAACCAACTCTACAAGTATACCACTTGGGAATGTAGAAAGGCAGTTTTTCTCATTTTGAGGAATTTGGATAAAATGGCTCAGAAAATATGTACAGCACCAACCTAACAACATATCATCAATGACATGAAATCAAGATTTGGTTCATGTTTAAAGCTTCCTTTTGGGTACTTAATGTAGAACAGAATTCAGTAACAATTTGCACCTACTAGGATATTATCAGAATTCTGCAAAGTAGGTAGTGGCATCAATATTTTACATAATTAAACTGAGGTATAAATGGAAGTAACTTGCTGAAAATCATACAGCTGGTCTCAAACTCCATATAGCTAGTTAACTGGCTAAACCCAAATCAGATCCCAGGTCTGTCCAGCCCTAAAGCCCATACTCCTACCATGCCCACCATCTTGATCAGATACTGCCTCTCAGGTCAAACTTGGAAAACTGAACCAACCCGATCAGACAGAAAGTGAACACTCAGTGCCTTACACCCAAGCATTTGAACCATGACATTCTGGCTTACCAATCTCTAATAAAATTATAATGTACCAAAAAGGCTCTTTATTCATTCACATATATTATTGCATTAAATCCTTTCTCCATACCCATGAGTAGAAGCAGCAGAAAGATAACCACTCCACTTTATATATGAGGAACCTGAGATTCGCAATAGATAATGTGCTCCTTCCAAATTTACAATGTGAGTAAATGGAAGAGTGAAAAACTGCTGATTTCAGGTCAGCTTCACCCTTCTCTCTCAAAAACAGTGGAGACAGTGGTGTGCAGCTCTCATTTTCATTTATAGAATGTTCACAGAAAACCTTTAACAACAAAATTAAAGAAATTGTAACCAAAAACTTCATACCTTAAACTGCGAGGAAATTATACATCACCTTTTACTTTTGTTAACTCATTCAAAATTTACTGACTTTAGATTTCAGGCTTTATATTGGTTATATGTACAGTGAAAACATACGATATTTTATCATTTTTCTTCATATCGAATGAGGCCTGGGTGTGGTTCTTCTAAAATTTATAAAAGTTTACATAATTATCTGATACATGTAAACTAAATCGTCACCACCTTCCTCTACTACTGTAGTGCACCTTACACGAGCAGTTACCCAATTAGAAAATTTTATTGAAACTTAAGTGAGTGAATAATTTCTTCCTGGAAGTTTACAACTATTAAGATATGATCATGAAAATGGGTTATTCACTAATGAACAAATTTGCAAATAGTATTAAGGGTCAGGCCCAATATTAGCATGAACTACCTCAGTATGAGTAAAAGATCTATTTTTAAATAAGAAATAATTCAAGCGACCAAAACACATATTGATTTGGTTTTTATTATTAACCACATGAGTACCCATGAGGACTGTTAGGATTAACAATCTTAAGATGGTCAGAAGCAGCATATAGAGAAAGAAATAAGGCAAAAGAGCTAAAAAAGTTGCTCATAAAGCAACAAAGCTATGACTGCCATTCTGAGTGGGCAGTACTTCCTCTTGCTGGGGGCAGGCCAAAAAAAGGAGCAGTGGGTGCCTGTGTCACAATTATTCAAGTCCACCTCTTATCCCATGGAGCGCAGCTTGAGCCCCAGTCGACAGAATAATATAAACAGATATTCTGTTGGGTGACTGGAATAATTTTTATTTGTACATAAAATTTTTCAGAAAAGAACTCTAATAATTTTGATGTAATACCATTCCAGATAATAACTGATATTTTTACTTTATATATATATTTTTGGAAATGGAATCTTGCTCTGTCACTCAGGCTGGAGGGCACTGGCAGATCTTGGCTCACTACAACCTCTGTGTCCTGGGTTCAAGTGATTCTCGTGTCTCAGCCTCCCAAGTAGCTGAGATTACAAGCACGTACCACCACATGTGGCTAAGTTTTGCATTTTTAGTAGAGACAGGTTTTTACCATGTTGGCCAGGCTGGTCTCAAACTCCTGAACTTGTGATCTGCCCACCTCGGCCTCCCAAAGTGCTGGGATAACAGGCTTGAGCCCCTGCGGCTGGCCCCATCTTTTTCTCACATCCATAGGAGCATGTGCACATATACAGTCTTGAAGAGAATTCCAAAAGAAAGGAAAAGAGACAGTTCATAATTTATTACAAATGCACATTATCCAACTCGATAGAAACCCATGTGCCCCAGAATATAAAGAACGTACACAATGTTCCAGAGAGCGTCATTGTCAGGTCTGGTTACATATACATATTTTTTTTGAGACAGGGTCTCGCCATGACCCAAACTGTAGTGCAGTGGCACAATCTCAGCTCACTGCAAACTCTGCCTCCCAGCCTCAAGAGATCCTCCCACTTCATCCTCCTGAGTAGTTAGAGCTACAGGCACATGCCACCACACCCAGCTAATTTTTGAATTTCTTTTTGAAGAGTCAGGGTCTCACTATGTTTCCCAGGCTGATCTTGAACTCCTGGTCTCAAGTGATCCTTCTGCCTTGGCATCCCAAAGTGCTGGGATTACAGGCATGAGCCACCGCACCTGGCCTGGTTATGTTTTTTGAACAGTGACCCTAACGTGCTTTTCCAGTTCCAGTAACTTTTGATAAAATTTTTCAGCAGTATCTTCATCTAGGTCCATCTGGAAAAGAAGCAAAAATAGAGATGTCTAGAAAGAAAAAATAAGATGAATAGTATTTGTATAAAAGAAAGGCATTCACTATAAGAAAAAGAAAGGAGGGAGCAGGAAAGGGCCATGGTGGCAGACACATGAGAGCTGTCAGGAAGCTGAAAGCCTGTGAGGAAGGAGACCCAGGCATCTGGGATTGCCTCCCCCTGTCATCCACTGTGCATCTCAATAGAAGAGACAGCAGGCCAGCTGGCACCTCCTGAATCTCCTTCCTGTAAATAATATGCTTTTTACTTAAAACAAGATCAAACCTAAAACCTTTTCACATGTGAGTCCTAAAACTATAAACCGAAACGCTTTTCATATGTGATTCCTCAAACTATGAACCAAAACCCTCTTCATATGTGATTCCTGAAGCTGTAAACCGAAACCCTTTCATATGTGATTCCTAAGGCTGTAAACCTGAGATTCTTCCACGTGTAATATCTAAAGTATAAGCCTCTATAAAGGCAGAGCCTTCCTTTGTTAGACGAGCTGAGCTTTGGACACATTATCACTCAGGCTTCCGGGACGAATAAACTTCTTCCTTCTTCATTTGGTGTTCGAGAGATCTGTTTCCCTGTGGCTGCTCCTGCTACATTTTTGGTACGTTGGCTGGGAAGCGAATTTTGGCTGGCAGATGGAGGGAAAAAGTCTTTCAGGCAGTTTGACTAGCCCTGTGGAGCATTCCTGAGGGGAGACTCCTGCTCGCTGGGGCGACGCATCCTGAGAGCGCTTCCGGGCAGGTGTTTGCCCGGTGGAAAAGCCTTGCTGGAGCGGAGCAGGGAGGCCCTGCAATGTGGATCCACCCAGTGGCTGAACACCGAGAAGGAATGTCCAGACAACTGAATATGTTAAGACTGACCCAGGAAAATAGCCCACCCCATTTTCAGTGGAAGCATGGCCTAATCACCCACAGGTGCCACATTCGGCACTTTTGAACGGGGCTCCCTCTCTCTCTCTCTCTCTCTCTCTCTCTCTCTCTCTCTCTCTCTCTCTCTCTGTAACTAACCTTGGAAGCTTTTGCTTATGGTTTAGAATTGGAGGAGAGTGACTGGATGTGTGTTTGTGTGTGTAGATGTGTCCAACCGGACTCATCTGTCGTGAAAAGTATCGGGCCCATTAGGAGGGGCCTCATGCATGGAGCAATTTGTAAGAATTAGAGACAGCATAAGGCTGAGTGGAGAAGCCTCTGCCCTCTGGGCGTTGTGAAGGACTGAAGAGAATGTAAATCAGAGAGTGATCCATGCTGCGTCTTGCTGGGCGGGAACTGCTGTGAGTGAACTAACACTCTCCTAATGTTATATTGGACCGAGCATAGAAAGTCAACACCAAGACAAAAGTATACCAAATTGCAGGGTTATTGCCAGCGACCACGGAGGACTCACGTCTCTCCAACCCGTGGCCCCATAAAAGAGGGTGACAAGACCTTTTATAACCGTAAAATCACCTTGGGGGTGAGGGGAGAGGATGGGATGAGGGGCTTCAGACATTCCGAGGGCCAGAGGATTCAAATCACCTTCTGGGTGGAGATGAGGGTGAGGGGGTTCTGGACATTTTGAGGGCCAGGGGACTATATGACATTCTGATTGTTATTTAAGGGGTTCACAGATGCTGAGATTAACATTCGTTTACACATCATCTGGGTAGGGGTGGGATCCATAGATTTTTATTTACTTGGCGCCAGGATGGAATTATCTGGGGGTGCTTACTCTGATAAACAAAGGCCAGCAATTCTGGCATTTACAGATAAGAGAAGGTATGCAGCTTTACCTCAATTTGCATCCTGCAAATAATCTAGCAATTTACAGAAGCCAAGGTTAGCAGTCATTGTGAGAATGGAAACAGTTTTGTTCTTTATAAAATGGCATTGTACAGGTTCTAACTCTAGGTCCCTGTTCTTATAACATGTATTAAATCTTTAATAGGTATCCTCTTCTTGACACAGGGGCCCATAGTTAGATCTTAGAACCATTAATTTTACCCAACCTATTCTTTCTTGGATAAATTTGCGGAGCATGTTTAAAAGGCATGGTCCAAATGTCAACCCTAGGACCACCAACATCAAGGGTCCTGCTAATCCAGTAAGCAGGGATGTCAACCAGAGGGACCAAGAGAATAGTTTTTGGTACCAATTTCCTGAGGCCTCTCTGAGGTGTTTCCTTGTTTCTAAGTATTTCCTAACCATAGCAAGGCTGTCTCGGATAATTCCAGAGTTATTTGCATAGAAGCAACATTGCTCACCGAGAGCCGCGCACAGTCCCCCTTCCCTCAAGAACAACAAGTCTAACCCCCTTCTAATTTGTAATACCATTTCAGCCAAGGAGTCCACTTGTTCAGCTAATTTGGTGATGGAATTTTCCAGATGGGTAATATCTGCATCTATTCGGTGTGAAAGAGTTTTGAAATTTTGGTCCCCAGTGACTAAGGCAGAGATTCCTATAGCGGTGGACCCTGCTATTCTAAGTCCCACTAATAGGGGTATAATTATGGGGGCCTGTTTCCAACATCTGTCTGTATCGGGTGCTATGAGAATTTCACCTTGGGGTCCACTATAAACATTTACCCGGGGCAGTATATACACGGGGGTACAAAGAATGGGTTTTGAGGAGTTGCTGAACTGGTAGGTGGAAATACAGCTCATGAGGCCAAAAGTACAGGCGAATCAGACTGAGTCTGGGGCAGTGTAGTAAAAACTTGTTTGACTATAACTTAAAATGAGAATATCTTTGCAAAAACATCGGTAGGGGGAGCTGGTGAGATTATAATTAGGGGAGTGGTAACATCTGCCTTCTCCCTCTAGATCACCTAGTGTTATGTGGAACTGCCTTTCAGTACATGAGGTATTTGAGGGGCTATTTCGGGTTGGGCTGCTAGGCCTGTGTAAAATGGTGGCTTTGGATTTAAGCATAGCCAGCAATCTTTTCCTAGATCTGGGTTTGTCTAGTTGAGCAGGTGTTGTGTGGAGGACAACATGAACAGGTTGTCCTGTGAACAGGTTCAGAATGAAGATAGCAGAGCTAGGAGTGGGGGACAGATTGGGAGTAACAGGGCTAGGACTGGGGACTATCTGGACCTTGGAGATGATTTCTGGGGGCCTTAGGACAGAGCTAGGAGTGGAGGATAGATTGGGAGCAACAGGACTAGGATTGGGGGCTATCTGGACCTTGGAGATGATTTCTGGGGGCCTTAGGACCTCGGCAATGGGTCACACTGGGCAGTCAGTTCTGGGCAATGGTATATGCTGGATGGTAAAGATGTTTCCCTTATCCCATCCACTCATATATACCCTAGGACCCCAGGTTCGCCCTGTTTCCCATCTCCCATCTGGATACAGGACCGTTATTTTGAGTGGGTTACAAGAGCCGTGGCTCCGGGTTGGAGAGATGTGAGTCCTCCGTGGTCGCTGGTAATAAACCCTGCAATTTGGTATACTTTTGTCTTGGTGTTGACTTTCTATGCTCGGTCCAATATAACACTAACTGTGGGAATTGTTTCTTTTGAGTGTTAACAGGGATCACTCCCATAGCAAGCCCACCCCTTTAGAGACTATGCTGAAAAATTTCAAGAAGGGATTTAGTGGGAATTATAAACTAACTATGACACCAGAGAAATTAAGGGCTTTATGTAGGGAAGATTGGCCAGCATTTGGGGTAGGTTGGCCCCCAGAAGGGATCCTAGACAGGCCCCCTTGTCTCCTAAGTAAGGCATAAGGTTACATACGGCGAGCTAGAACACCTCGATCAATTTCCATACATAGACTCTGGTTGCAGTTAGTTTTGAACCCTCCGAAGTGGCTAAGAGAGCAGGCAGTGACTGTTTTAGCGGCCAAGAGACAGACTGCTAGAAACCACCATCCCCCTCGCTGCGGAGAGACACGGACTCCTAAGGGACAGGCAGATTCAGCGACAGGAACAGCGACTCCCAAGGTTCTGGTAGATCCGGAGGCAGAAGAGTTTTTGCCCTTTCCTCCTCAAGGACTCCCTGCCCCTGAGCCAGAACCCTTGGCATCCCCATCAGAGCTGCATACCCCTAAAACACCTAGAGTAGACAAGAGTGTGGAAAAACTCCACCCATTGCTGCCCGCTTCCCAGAGGGAACTCCCCCTCTGGCAGCCCTTCTGTGACCCAAGGCTGGGATGCAGATGCCTTTGAGAGAGCAGGGGTACACGGGAGTGGATGAGGACAGCCACATGGTAGAAAAGCATGTTTTCACGTACCTGCCGTTCACCTTGGCTGATCTTACCAACGGAAAAATAATAACCCGTCTTATACCGAGAAGCCACAGGCTCTCATTGACCTACTGCAACTATTATTTGAACTCATAACCCCACTTGGGCTGACTGCCATCAGCTGCTTATGCATCTTTTTAACACAGATGAAAGGCAAAGAGTCCTCCAAGCTGCGAACCCCCAAGAGTATGTCAGGGTCCAGTTACCAGGAACTGAACCCCAGTGGGATCTGAACACCCTGGAGGACATGCAGAGGCTAATCCGGTACAGAGAAGCCTTGCTGGAAGGATTAAAAAAGGGCGCCCAGAAAGCTACAAACATTAATAAAGTGTCTGAGGTTATTCAAGGAAAAGAGGAAAGTCCCACCCAATTTTATGAAAGACTGTGTGAAGCTTACCGCATGTACACTCCTTTTGCTCCTCAGGACCCCGAAAACCAGAGCATGATAAATATGACATTAGTCAGTCAGTGTGCAGAAGACATTAGACGAAAACTGTAGAAGCAGGCAGGATTTGCATGCATGAATACTTCAGTTATTAGAAATAGCTAACCAGATGTTTGTAAACCGAGAGGCAGTAAGTAAGCCAGAGGGAAAATCATAGGGAAAACAAGTGTCAGGCTCAACAGAAGGCCAACTTGATAGCTGCTGCTATGAGAGGAGCACCCCCAAGAGTGGGAAAAGAGGGGTTCCTGGAAAGCATCCAGTCTGCCTGCCCACGCCTGCAACGCAATCAGTGTGCAT